CACGTCCACCAGCAGCTGCTGCAGCGCTACTGCTGCACTACTGCTGCACATATACCCCAGTGCGACTGATTCATGTGAACTGTTGTAGCGCAACTGAAAGTTCTCAAATCCTATGTCTGCTGCTGTGAACTGTGCGTTGAAACTTTTGTTTTAAAATTAAAGATATTCAAACAATGTATAGAGGAGACATAGTTGGGACATTTTTCACATAAGCCACTGGTTTACATTGACATGCCATTTTGATAGCCTCAAAATCGCATGTCAATGTGAACTAGCCTTTGCCCGTGACTCCGTTTGCGTGGAATTTAAAAAAAAAAACAAAAGCAAGTAGCTTGTGTGTTCTTCCAGACTATTTACATCTACAAGGCTACAATCTGTAGCCTCTCTAAATCTCTGTAAACTCTGACATCCATATATCTATACTTTCGCATTTATATTAGTATGATTGTATTTGAATGAATTGCTAAATCACATTTAAATGTTTATTTTGACGCTGTTTGGTTTATTTTTTACCGATGAAAAAATGTACACTATGTCTAGTCTATATACTTCTTAAATGTCTTTGCTAAAAATGTATTAAAGAGTTGAAACATGGGTTTTAATCGTTTTTGTTTTAAATTCAACCTGCATTTTAGGATTTTCGTTACTTGTACTTATTCAACGCACGATATGAGCATGAGAGTTTGATTCCATCGTTTTAGAAATTAACATAGTCTTTTAATCACAAATTCGTATGGAAACTAGTAAAAATTCATAGCATTTTGAGGCTGAAATATAATTAAAGATTTCTTGAAGGGTATGTGACGTTTTTAACAAAATACGTCAATAACCTCAACATCCATTAAATACCTAATTTATGAAATATCTACTTACATTTGTGTATAAATTGTGGCTAAAAGACAGTGAATTGGATGTAATATGTTGTAAAACATTATTCAATATTGGGCTTTAATAAAAAAGTATTAATCAAAAATCTTTTATTCCAATATAACCTTCCAAATTACTTAAATACAGTCAAATAGTAAAAAATAGTTACCTGTTACCTGTGAATTTCAAATTTCGTGACACTTGTACACAAATACTATTGCTATCTCATTCTTTACACAGAAAATAGAGACGTCAATATTATCGTAATACAAATGTTACGACAGTGGAGATTCACTATTAAATTAACCTTTTTTAAGCACCATCTTGTTTTGGCGGCAAAGCACTTGAATTTTGACATGTCGCACAAGATGGCGGCCTCACGTGCAACACTCCGCTTTAGGGAATGTACACGCACAAGGATCTGTCGCAATGCACTCCGCAGGACACATACATTCACAAGCTGAAAAAAAATAATTAAATAGTAGTAAAAAAACCATTTTACTGCAGAAACGTAGCTTTTTAATGGTGAAAGAATTTTTGAAATCCAGTAGTTTTAAAGTTATTTCAATACATACCGCGAAATGCAAAAATACTCATCTAGGATAGATTTCTAACATTAGTATAGATATTAAATGAGCCCTGATTTTTAAAGCGTAAAAAATTCCCTTCATATTTTTTAGACAATAGAATTGTAACAATACAATTATACTGAATATCGACCCCCGCAATGGCGCGCGTATTCTCAATACGTCTGAATGACATTGACAGATGTCATAGGGACGGGACGTCCTCATTTATGCCAAAGATCCTAGTGTTGCGTCGATCCTCCAGCGCAGTACTGATTTTTAACAATATTTAAATAATTTATCTCGAGGATGTAATGTGTACTCACGTTTACAATCCCCGTACGCGCAGGGGTCCATATACTCGGAGCAATCCTCGCCCGGCGGCAGGAACGATGACTTGTACACTGTCGTGCTCTCCAACTATTAAATAAATCATAAATAAAGTCGTTAATTATTCACTAAGATACTTTTACAGTAGATTTTGTATATTAAATCTGAAGGTATCTTTATTGCGTAGGTGACGAAAAGTAATGTGTATAGTATTGTTCAAAATCTTGATGAATATATGAAATATTCATAAAATTTTAAGTGTTGCGGCGGGTAAATGTATGTGAGGAGAAGGGATGCATCTCGATACCCAAGATATTTGAAACAGACTACGCTATTATTATTGGCGCGGTTTCCACAATGTCGTGTGGCAATTGTGCCTTACCCGCTGGCATGGCTTCTGGTACTGTCCCTTGCAGGCCCAGGGCGGGCGCTGCGGCGCCGGCGCGCACACTGGCTGGTACGACATCTTGTGTACCGTTGACGACTCCATTTTGGCTGAAATAAGATCAAAATTTTAATCAATGCTTTTTTACGTCGCCTGCATTTGCTTCGGAACTTTGGACTTCCTAACCTCTACTTTTTCATCACATTTCAACATTAGTCTCTTCCATTACTACAAGTAATGAAAATGTTTTTAAAAAGATTGATATATAACTGAATCTTAGGGTATACGCAGTGCCCTTTTTAAACACTGTTAGCGCCCTGGGCGAGATTTCTATTGCAGCCCCTTTTTACCATGCTTTGGAGAAGGGAGCGGTTAACAAACTTATGTAAAAATAATTCGCTTACTTTGACGCCCTTGTTCAACGCCCTGGGCGGATTTCCAGATCTAACCTAATGCCGGCATTGTAAAAACAGATGTAAAGATGACATACCCGATGGTCTTTCGTAGCACTTGATAGGTGCATAGGACTCCGTCACTTCCTGCCGGCCAGGGTCCAGGTACGACAGCCGGTTCACTGTGCGGTCTGCAACAAACACATATTTACGCAATACCCTAAAACTCTCACACATCGCATTCCTTTTTTATCCACAATTTAGCTCGTACCAAAACTGAACACGATACATACTTTCAAACGGTTGCTCAACGCAATGGAACTTCGCTGGAGGCTTGAAGGATTCTCTGATTGAGCAGGGCTTAGGTACAAAGTCGTGGCGTGCAGTTGTGAGATTCTGCATAGGCCCCTGTCCCCACATGTCGTGGTGGCAAGGTCGGATCGGTTGTGTGACGCACACAGGGTTCGGCAGAAACGAGAGCTAGGATAAGAAAAATCATTCACTTTAAAAATAATGTAGAAGATAGGTTAGACACATTTATGACTTTTGAGTGGTCTTTTAACACATTCCGTAACACTAATATTACTCTAACTGCAAATAGTTTCTATACCCACTTGGCATTGTGAGCACTTTAGGAACTCAGAGATCTTCTCTGAGTTGACGCGAGATCACATAAAGGTTAACGCAAGATGCTACACGAATACTTATTAGTTCTTACCTTGTGTACGGTATCTCCATCCATCATAGCAGTAGACGGCACTATGTTGGGATTCGGTTTCACCATCGGCGGTCTTTCGGCTTCCACGGGCAAGTAACTTAAAAATAAAGTGTTACACTTATAAAAACCACTAGACTAAGAAAAATAATAACATCATTTTGACCTTTTCACTGCAAAAGGTTAGCACTTGTTTATTGTAAAAAGTTATCAAAAATCAATACCTGTTATTATAAATAGTGCCGGACTCAAATCTCTTAGAGGGCGTGACAGGATTGACACAGGAGTTTGGCAAGATGGCGCGCCGGCGACAGTCGCTCTTCGCATCCAAAAAACTGCAAAATATAGCATGTTACAATACCTACTAATATATAAACTTAAATTTGTGAGATGCACACATACACATGAGTTTCCTAAACATAGGTTAGGGTGATGGATGTTTTATTTTATTGACATAACCTGTCTTTTGACTGTAAAGTTATAGCGTTAAAGGGGGTACCAAGAATATTTCATTGATAGTTTTTTTTTATACATAAGATGGCAAACGAGCAAGTGGCCACCTAAAACTGCCAAAATGGCGAAGTGACCGCTGCCCATAGACATCCGCAATTGCAGATGCGTTGCCTACCCTTATACGACGGAGGAGGAGACGCACATAAAGAGGATATTCCCACTTCCTATGCATCTCCTCCACCGTCAAATCCACTTCCTCTTCCCAACCTCTCCTTATAAGAAAAGGGTGGTAAAGAGAAAGGGACTTAAATTAGGCCTCCGGCACCACACTCATCAGACGAAACACGGAATTGCTTCCATTTCACGCCTGTCTTCTGTGTGGTCGTGGTATTACACTGGGCGTGCCGGCCCTGCAGTGCTAAGATGTTAAAGCGGGCACTACCACTGTTATGAGATTTGTTAGTCTAGTTTATGCCTGTTACAGGCGCTGCACAAATTTTATACAAATTTTCTCTATGATGTTAAGAAAATGTTTTCACGACTGTTAAATACGCCTCTGTTATATGTGGTGGTAAGGTTAAAAAAGGTTTTTTACCTAAGTCCATAAGTGGTGTTGCCGTCTATTCTTTGACAAGGTTTCTGGTATTGACCCTTGCAAGCCCAAGGTAAAGGCTCCTTGGGGAGTACCTAAACAAAGAAATATCCCTATAGCTACTATGATCATTGACGTAAAAATATTATTACGAATTTACGATACTTAAATATTTCAGATGTTTATTACATTCTCATCATATGAAAAATGATGATTCAAACTAAATAAAAATACCACTTCTTTTAGTATTAGTATACTATATTTTTATATATACATTTATATTGTATATACGAGTACAATTAAATTAAAGGTTAAAGATTATTGATATTTTTAATCATTAAGCCAGTGCTCATATCCATTGGAAGCCGGGAAAATACCATACGTTAGAAAAATATGCCTGAAACAAATTTTATTACATTCGTTTATGTACTTCGGTAATAGAATACGATAAAATAAAAAAATAATATAACCAAATTAATGTTTAATCCTTATCAACACTACAATTATGAATCCACAAAGGTACTCAAACACAAAACAATGAAAAACCTAACTAACGAAATGAAAAAAAAAGAAATATTTAAAATTAGCCTTGCAATACTGACAGGATTCGGTCCGCGCTCAGCTATGGATAAAAATGTTGGATGTTTGCTACATGTTGGATGTTTTCTAATTGAAGTACATTTAAGATAAACCTTACAATAATTTTTCCCATTAGACAAATAGGACACTGATGTGCTCGCTGGCCTAATCAGATCGATTAGTACGATTCATGACTCATAAAAAATTCTCCAACGCAAATTAATAATTTGGGAACTTACGTCTATTTAAAAAAAGCTAAGTGTATTTAGTAAGGAGCAGAAATGTGTATGAGAGACCTTATTGGGCAAGTAGCTCATTTTATGTGTGGTATTTCCCTCCATCTTGGCTGCAGGGCGCTCGTAGCAACGCTCCGGTGCGAACGACTTCGTAATCTCCATACGCTCCGGCGGCAAATATGACAGCTTGTTCACTGTCTTGTCTAAAAAAACATACTAAAATAAATGTTTACATAATTTGTTTTAGAACGCATTGTCTGTTAAATTATGTTATTAAGAGCGGGCGCATATCATAAAACTAACGCAAAACTATTGTGCGATTGTCGATTGTTTTGCAGCCAATTCAACTGTTTAGTTGCACAACTAAAATTGTATAGTGTAACCTCCATATAAGCTCATACGTATCAAAGCGAGACGAAACAGTTGTGGGATATTTTAGTTTCAGGTGTTTTACTCTATATGTGTTATTTACTAACTTTCAAATGGTTGTTCCACACTATGATACTTGTGTGGTGGCTTGCAGCTCTCGCGTAGTACGCAAGGCTTGGGCACGAAGTCGTGTCGCTGTGTGGTTACATTCTGCATTGGCCCCTGCCCCCACATGTCGTGGTGGCATGGCCTGATAGGCTGCGTTACGCATACCGGGTTCGGTAAGAACGAGAGCTGGAAAGAAAGTCTGCGTTACACAAAAGCCAGTTTCAACATTTTTTATTTCCCTTAGCTGCTAATATTCAACTTTACTCTCAATTTTATTATCGTCCACCACATACTAGTTCTATGCCTTCTGTTGTGCCCCAAGTGGTCCTCATGAAACGCTATGGATATCAAGCATATAAAATAATG